CAATATCAGAAACGTTTTTGTGGTAATGTAATTTACCGCATTCGACCGGCGGCTGAATAAAGCACGTGGTTTGGTGGATAAAAATAAACGATGTATGTGAATGTGTCCCATTGACAAGTTCTTGTACACACGAATGTTTTTAAAGCACTAGACTGACTACCAACTGCCGACAATTGGTTTTCAGCTCAAGCGTGAACTGTACATGCAAAATCGAGAAATTAGGCTGTCAGGAGGCCGTGATCTCTGGAGTGATGTCAGAGCCTTGAAGCTTTTAGGCCAGCTACTGTTAGAAGGCGTTCACCATGACTGAGAAGATGGTGTTTCATTCTTGTTCCTTCAACACTCTATCAACTGATAATGTTTTCACCTCAAGCGTGAACTGTACATGCAAAATCGAGAAATTAGGCTGTCAGGAGGCCGTGATCTCTGGAGTGATGTCAGAGCCTTGAAGCTTTTAGGCCAGCTACTGTTAGAAGGCGTTCAACATGACTGAGAAGATGGTGTTTCATTCTTCTTCCTTCAACACTCTATCAACTGATAATGTTGCGTATCCATTAATTAAATATGACAGGATGGTTATGAATGATAAATCGCGAGAGTACATTCTGTGCTTGCTTTAAGGTAACTGAGAAGAACCAGGAAACTGGGGATAGCCGATACCAACATGTTAGTTTAATGCGATTGGATGAAACGGATATTTTGGGCGTGTTTTAAGAGGGGGCAGAAATTGGATCGATTTTTTTTAGATTATGGTGCCACAGACTTTAATTAATCTGACAGGCGGCTTCGAATGGCGGATGTTAAATTTGTTATGAATTGTGAATTGGGCAGGGTGGATGTGCAAATGGTTTTGAGGAACTGGTAAGGAATTTGCCTTCGACAAGGTGCGGATTGGCTCGTACAAGATTCGACCAGAATATTGCTGAGATAAAATGTCAGCTTTGTCTTGAGTATTTTGTGTTTTCACTTTCGTTAAGTTAGAGAATTTTCTGGCGTTGATTCCGATTGTGCCTCATATAATTCGTTGATGCGATAATTGTTCCTGTGCTCATGCGTCTTCTTCACGCTTCGGCCTGCTTTACCCTCGGTTGTCAAGGGATACCAGGCTAGGTTGGCCCCAGAAACAAGACTGGGCGCAGAGAGGGCGGGAACTTTGCCCCATAGTCCACATAAAACCAGGATCGCGATCGACTATGACTCGCCTGATCTCTTGTTAAGGGCCGCCTGATACGGAGTGTTTGGAGTAAGCATTCGCGGACAGCCGACATGGGGTGATTCTCCCACTTTTGGGTTTGGTTGCGGGGCTAACATTTTCTGACCGTGAAAATAATAAATTGTTCCGAAGTTTTGTGCGTGTCCTCTGACATTTGCAACGACCTAAGCTGGACTAAGCGTAATCAAAGATAAAAGACAAATGACTTGTTCTTATGCTCATTTGCTCTTTAACGTGATGCATGCGATATTATCATTTGTGTATGTTGGCTAATATGGCACGTGAGAATTGAATTTTTCATACATGGCCACAGTTTATGTGTGAATTTTTTTATTTAACCTCAAGATGACCTTAGTTCGGTTGGGAACATGTGATTTAATACACTACGGCACAAATTATTCATATGGGATGAAGTACTTTGGCGAAGTGGCCAGATGAGCAACGAGCAACGACAATCGAACTGTGGGACCAGCTGCAGAGACAATTGATTGCAATCAGCCACTGAGCTGCTACGTGCGTTGAAAATATTCGTTTCCATAATTCAGTATAGCAGTGTGAATTCTCCTGCCCGGCAGACAGTTTATTGACTAATTCTTTCTTTCTGTGTAGTTACAGGCTTTCTCCCTGCTCCCCCCTTTAAGAGTGACGTAATTTCTTCATTCCTTCTGGGGTTTCTGACCTGCGAGTGTTGTGTTGATGTCAGTTATGACTTGGCTGTTTATTGTCGCGTAAGGAAAAGTGAATTTGAGATTCGATCTGTCGCTCGCTCTGAATCCGCTGTTCGGTGAAGAGTTGGGTTTTAATTTTCTGCATATCGAGAATAAATTAATATTTCTGCTGCTTTCCATCTTGGGTAAGTGTTTGCTTTGAATTGAATTGATAAGAAGATTTGTACAGGGAAGTGAGATGAGTTTATCCAAACAAAATTATTCTTAACTTACTGGGAAATACAATTACCAAAACAGTGATCAAAATAAACTTCCAAGTTGACAAGGCGAATAATTTCGTTGAATGGGTGCGGTAATTTATTTGTCGCGAAATTAACTGTACGGTGAAATATTAAGTACAGCCGGAAACTTCTGAAGTTGGCGTTGTAGAAATTTATTTTTGTGATTTGACCTTGAGATATTGTTTATTTACTGTAAATTTAGTTAGGCATTTATGAGAATGTATTTGACTTGGATTTATAATGTTCTCATCAGTGTTTCATCGCTTCAGACCGTGACAAACTGAGAGTCTACCCACGCCATCTTGCATCTTTATCCAGACCGTAACGAATAGTCTTAGGTATTATTCGTGAGGTAATAAATATACACATATTATGAGCTAAAGAAGTTGAAAGGGCGCAACTGCACCAACCAAAATTCGATAAGCCCAGAAGCTGCCATTTTCGTGGAGTTCAAGGTTGTGCTTAACAACAGACTCCGCTCCAGGTGATAAAGTTATTTGCTTATTTAATTAACAGTGCTGCCACTCCAAGCGATAATTCACTCGAAGCAATTGTAAGAATGGAACAGAAATACCAATATTAACGTTTACCGGAGACCGAATATACAAAGATTTTCCTTGGTTTCCAAGCAAATATCGCAATAGTAACTTAAGTTAGGCCACTTCAGATCACTTCCACATCCTTTCCAATTCATTATTCGCTGGTAGTCGTATCTTCCGACACTGATTTGAGCTATTTATTGGGAATGTAGTTCAATGAACCGAAAATAAATAAAATAGGCAGTTGTGCACCCTTACAAATTGTGAGGCTTAAAAACATCTGAAAACGTCTCCTCTGTACCATCAACAATCATCATCATCCACTACAATGGGGAACAAAGGCTTGATGTAGTGCTTTGTGCAGGGACCTCGACCGCATGTCACGACCAATCTGATGAGTGCGAACGAACTTAACAGGTTTGCTCTATTGGAACCTTCCCACTCATACGGACTTACTGAAACAACACTTCTCATAACCTACAGCATGTAATTAAAATCAGTTTGATTCATGCTTTTGAGCTGAAGATAGAATTTTGTTGAAGCGGTTCTCCAGAGCAACTACGTACGTCACACAAGTATCATCATGTGTGGGTCCTCAGTTCCTTTCCCAGTACTCTGTATTTTGTAAAATCGAAAGAAGTGACAGGTTTTGTAAATAGGGAATAACTCTTAATGGTAACTATATGTACCATTTCCATCAGTAGACCTATTTATGTGTTTTATACGGTTCTCACAGCGATTATTTCAATAAATAGCATTAACCATTAATTGGTGAGAGTGGAGTAACCGCTACGGTGGTGGTCGAGCAGTCAGAGCACTAGCCTTGTAATCCTGGGGTCCCGGGTTCAATTCCCGGCGGTGCCCGAATTTATAACTTGTGCTGGGCAAGGCCGTGGTCTAGGCAAGACGGAGTTTTCCTCCCGGGCTTCCCCGGTTTCTCCGTGGCATCCCAACAATTACTCAATTCACACACAGAAGAAGGCAATGGCAAACCTGCCTAAAAACCATACCCAGGTTTGGGAAGCACTGCTCTAATGCGTATTCAGAGAGAACCCTTCTTCTGTGTTCAACATGTTGGAACACAGCTGGACACCAGTAGCCTCCTCAGTTAAGTGGTTTTCAACTTTATATGAAGTACCATATAATACTGTTAAATTCCCACTCCCTGTACTTCTACTAGGTGGGGTGCTTTGCATTATAGACAACTTTCCTTTACCAGCTTTTATCTTGTAATTTTAATCATTCCCTTAAGGAATGACATGCAAAACAACATAAATGTTGTCCCATTACAGTACAGTCAGTTTATAGTTTGATTATCAGGTTCCAGAATGTGAATTCATTATAGATACTATAAATAAAAGAAAGACAGCCCCAAATACAAATCATGGTCTTTATTTCTTTTAAAGTTGGGCGTTTTACTTAACTATGTAATAGTATACATTCTCCATTCTGAGCAGCACATCATTATTCCAATCTGCGTTTCTTGACAATGGTCCCAAGCTGGAAGAAGAATATAAGAGTTCCAGTTCTATAAATAAATACAAATTCTGAGGTGATCATAGCACTTACATATACGGGTAGCCCTCGATTTGCGCCGATTTTGAAACCAGAAAGTCAGGAAGTGAACAAAATATATTTTACTATTATTTATAATGTTCTACAATGTTTCTCATACTGCTTCTTATACTAAATCGTATTTCTTACATCGCTGATTTTGAACAAAAATTATAAATACAGTCATGTTTCATTAACGCGAATTTCATCCTATGAGATCGATGAATCGGTAAAAGCTGTTTGTGAAATGCAAACTTTTGTATATGCGAGTTTGCTCTTATGCAATTTCATTCCTGGCACTTTAAACTTTCAAAGAACTAATTTAATCTCTGCGGAGGTACCGGGGTTATTTTTGCTACATGATTTTCTATAGGTCGGCGTCTTACATGAATGCAACTATCGCATAACAGCAGAGATGACTGTACACATCAATCACATGAAAGAATCGCAGTCAATCGCGGGGACCAACGAATCGCCGATTGTAAGTGTATAAAATATATTTTTTAAATTCCCTTTATTTTATTTATGTTATTTCAGAGATTTAAATGTAATGTCATTATATTACTCGTCAATGTTTGGGTGCTGGGAATGCATGTCATCGACTTCACATTGATTTACATTATAAAAGAGTTTCAATTTATGCTGGTTCGTCCAGGAACACATCCTCGGCGTAAATCGAGGGCTACCTGTATACACAATATGACAACCAGTTTCCTCTTACTCACAAGATGTTCAGATGTAGTTATCACTATTTACTGACAAAAAATTATAATTGTGCTACCAAATTTAAGTAAAATATTTTTTCTTTTATTTTTATATACTTTTATATTTTGCCAGGAAACCAAATTTGGTGGTGGTGTTTGTGCTGGGTCTAATAAATGTAAAAGTAAAGCTGTCCCGCTATATGCCATGCAGGCATTTGGGGGTAGAGCAGGTATAGCTCCTACTCATTCTTAACCTTCTTACCCCTGTCTAAATGTCATCTTGTTTCAGTCTGAGGTCTTTCTGTTCAATTATAATATATCTCACAGTACCACAACCATGTATTCTCCTAGTATGAAGATAGTCATATGTAATGTCTATATATCAGTCATGTCCACTCTTATCAAGCCACACTGTAAATTTTCATGTAATATTTTTATTAGAAAAAACAAAAACATCTGAGGAGTTGCAAATGATATAATAAAAACTATAAAGACACAATAATTTTTTGCAGTCACCAGACACAGTGTTGTTCATACACTTCAATAAAATCACCCCTCCAGCCATTTAAATGTCATCCCATTTCAGTATGAGTTTCTTTCAGTGAAGACCTGCAGCATTCATGTTTGAGTAATGTCACACAGGACCACAACAACGTGTTCCCCTAATATTTAAATTATTACATGTTTCAGGAGAGAAAACGATCCATATACAAATAGTGTCAATCCTTGCACTATCACTGTTGCTTTCATGTCATATAGTTTGTACACCGGTGTCTCAAAGAGTCTATTGTTCCTACTGCATGCGTTATCTAAAAATTACTCTTTTGATTACTCTGGGGCCCAACCAGCCTTCTATCCAATGGGTACTGGGGTCCTTTCCCAGGGGTAGAGCACGGCTGGGGAGTGATGCTGACCACTCACCCCCGTCTAGTGCCAAGGTCACGAATGAGTAGGAGCTACACTGCCTCTCCCTCTAAGCGCCTACATGGCATATAGTGGGACAGCTTTACTTTACTCTTTTGATTAACCTTAGCTATTGATACATTTTTGGCCAGACTAATATTTATCTTTGTGTCCTCCTTTCATGTCTTCTGATTTTTTGGGACTTTGCTTGCACATTGAGCTTTAATTCTTCCATCAGTCGTGCTATTTCTATAGCATTTGTTATATTATATTTCTGAAATTTTTATTTTTTGTTTAATATTATTGGAATCCATGCCTGATTCAGTAAGTACTGACAGTTTTTTTCTGCAGTTACTTACTTGTCCTTGTATTCTGATTTTCCACGAGTCTTTATTCCTTCTATTTTTTACTGCTTTGAAAAGTTCTGCAATTGTTTCTCTAATGACTGTTGTTGCAAACTATTTCTCAAAATAAATTAATGTTAGGCACATAAAAAGTGTAGGGGTCACAGTGGCCGCGCGGTCTGAGGCGTGGGCCTTGTGTTGCTTGGTGACTGGAACCGTGGGTTCGAATTCCACTCAAGGCATGGATGTTTGTCTGCGTATTTCTGTGTTGTGCTGTCCTGTGTAAAGGTAGAGGCCTTGTGACGGGCCGATCCCTCGTCCAAACAGTCCTACCAAAATGTCTATAGATCAAAACCAACGAAAAAGTTGGGACCCGCAGTGCTCAGGCACTTGAAGAACAGGTCATCAAAATATCCAAAGTAAGTAAAGTATAAAAGGTGTACAGTAATATGTGATATTTTCTGAATACACCAAACAAAATATCTTTGATTATCCACATTTTTCAAATATTTATGTCTAATCCCCTTCATTAGACTGGATAACTGGGAGTATACTGTGTTATTTATTATTGTTATGATTATTTTCCAAAGCCTGTCATAATTTTCACCTTCTGTATTTTAAGGCTAATTTTTACTATAACTAAAATACTGGTCTGATTATTTGAATCTTAGGTTTTCAGTAAAATCTGTTCTTCCTTAATAGGGTACATTTTACTCAGAGTTTCTAGGCTAAAACAGCAATAAACGGACAAGAATTTACTTTATGATTCTCTCTCCACTTTTAGATGCCAGGTTAATCCAGCCATGAGGTAGCACAAGCAAATTTAATGTCCTGTATCATAAAGGTTAATGGTGAGTAGTTTAAAACTGTTCTGGATACAAATGAGGTTAGTTAATTGTTATCATTAATTAAATTATATGAAGAATTAATTCAATCTAACAGCAATAAGCCTATATTTTCCAGTGTGGCTGCACACCCCCGCAGTCCAAACATGGACACACGCCTGTTGTGCTGTGATTACTTTCTTGTTATTTTAGATTTATAGATGGATAGGTTATTACCAGATCAGATATGGCAGGCAGGTGCAAGGAATGTTCTCCAGAGTTGTTGGCATTCTCCTGTGTTGATGCACCTGTAGTTTTGGATGCCTTCAGGTTGCGATGTTGAGGAAATGTTGGCATCAGTTTTGGATCACAAGCTGCATCAAATACAATATATTATCTCAATGCCTTTGGCTATCAAACAGATGTGGTAAAAATATTAGAAGACATAAAGCAAGAATCTGTGTTACACTGAGGGTACCTTTGCTTTCTCTTTTAGCCCTCTACCATCAGTAATACTAACGCAGTGCTAGTAACACCTTGTGAGAGGGGAGCAACCACTGAATCTAGGGTCATGACGCGCGCGTGCGCGTGTGGAGGGGCTAAAGCAACAGTTCAGATAATTTTAGACAGTGATATGGGTTTTTGTGGTGCAGTCTTCAAATTTCATACCAACATTTCAGTGGAACATGATGCCTCCATCTTCTGATGTTTTAGAATGTGAAACTCTATGGCTGTGGAAAATATATATTTTAGTTTTCCATTTGAGAGCAATAATTAGCGAACCCCCTGCAGCCAGACATTTAAAATTTGGCACAGAAACAGATCATTAACACACAAACTCGGAATTAAATAGTTTGGTATGTAAATGATTATAAATATTGTGATTTTCTATATGACAGCTTTAAAATAGTGGAAATCTACACAAGCATAAATTACTCCCAGAAACATATCACTAAACTGTACAATTCCTAATTATAATAGTTGCTGGCATCTCCATATAGAAAATGCGTGTCAGAAAGCTCGCACAATAATTGTTCTATGATATAATATGGATTCTTGCAGTTGATATGAACCAATTAAATTCCCATGATCAGTTGCAACTGTGGGTTGAGGTTTGTTCTTGTCTGATTCAGTGGTAAAGGAGAACATATCCTAAAGTAATATCACAAATACACAGATGTGATGCTACTGTATTTCCTCATAAATGGGCTGAAAGGAAGGATTTTAAACGGAGAAGTACATGTGACTCACGTAAGGGTGCTTCCTTGAAATAAGAACTCTGGAGACACTCTTCAGCAGTAGCTCTTTTCTTGGGGTCATACATGAAGAGAAAATTAAGAAGGCGAAGTCCTGCAGCTGACAGCCACGGGAATCTCTGCTTTAAATTGTTGTATGGCTGCTGTTTCAATGTGAAGCTCTAACAAAAGACAAGAACCACGTAAACCACTACAGAATGTAGCTATTTCCAGAGAAACATTTTCTCATATGATCTTCTTCAGTTCAAGATTAATTTAATGAAATATTAGTACTGGCACTCATTACCTGAAGAGCTGGAAGTGAAGAGAACTCTGGCCAAATAGCGTCAGAAGGAGTCCCTAAAAGATCAACGATCAGTTCCAACTGGCCGAGTTCAGAGCGTCCTGGTAACAGTGGACGGTGTCCCAAGAGTTCTCCCAATATACAGCCAGCAGCCCACATATCAACAGAAGTTGTTTGGGTATGTGCCTGTAGTAGGAGTTCAGGAGCCCTGTACCACAAAGTCACTACTCGAGGTGTCATTGGACGCAAAGGTAGACCAAACCAGCGTGCCAAACCAAAATCAGCTAAAAGGAGAAAAGCATGAACCTTAGAAACATGTATGCACTTTGTTTGGTTTTTCAATGTGTGTACATCTTATTGTGAGAAGTATAAAAGGTGTCTGAGCAGAAACATACTACAGTCAGTGGGATGAATCTGATGTATGATAAAACCAGTCAGCCAAAATGTGTACAAGAAACATTGCAATATCAATATTGATGGTTTTTAGAATTATACTTCCTCTGATTTTGCCTATAAAAGTGCTTCAATTCATCTTTGTTAGAAATTTATGATGACAGATCTAAAATAAAATTTCCAAGGATAAATCAGGAGTAATCCATGTGCGTGAACACAGGTACGAACACATATGCATACATGCACATGCACACACAAATCTCTTTCTCCTCCCTGTTCCCACTTTTCTTATACATGATGTCTCTTTACACCACTGCACAGCAGGCCATCTGCTGCTATAAAAGCCTCATTTGGAAAATGACAAAACCTCACTGTTTGGAGAAACTGTGTCATCACACTTTCCTGTGCATGAAGCATGTGTGAAGCAGCATGATCAAGGAGAACTTGCCCTTTGATTGTAGCAGACAACTCTGTAATCGTAAGTACATCCTTTGGAGGACATCGTTGTGTTACGTTTCAAGGCTCTTAAATGACGAGTGGGAAGAGACATTATATGTAGGATGAGACATCTTTCCTTTTGCTTGTAACCCAATCAGCTACATTGTTAATTTTCCCTCTATAAATAAGGATAATGCTTGATTTCTGAATAAAAATCTATCTTGATTTGTTTCAGTGAAGACTTCCATGTGTTTCTTATTTTACATGCTCCTTCATGGCTCATATAACAAGTTTCACCGATTCTCATCAATATTGACTGCAAATGCATGTTAATGCAGTCAGTAGAATTTACTCACAAAGATTTGCAGTTTTTCTTCGTTCCATCCTTTCACTGCGTAAATTGGAATATATCTCCAGATGTTTACTGTATGATGCTGAAAGTAATTCAGATTGTCAAAATTCTGGTGGTTTCTTTCCTTAAACATTCAGAAACAGTTTCTCTTTTTTCCCCCCTTGCTTTTCTCCCATCTTTTGAATGTATTTAATAACACCATGACACTCATCAGCACATGAAGGACCTCTGCACTTTGCAGCAAAATCAAAAACAAACACACTACTATGCATACTGCTATAAATTAGCTGTACAAACGTGAAAACAATGCACTGTGGAGGATAAAACAACAGTTTTAAGGCACAGCAATTACATTAAGCATTTAACTTGTTGAAGAACTTGAGTGAAGTTTGTTGAAATATAATTTGGATAAATGGTAAATTCACAATATTGTGTGTGAGGGCTAATAAATTATAATAAAATTTGGAGTGGCAAGAACCTGCATTTTACTCATATTTTTATGCAAAATTTTGTATATGTATCAGAGTTTCTGAGGGGGAGACTTGGGAGTGTCTTACAAATGGGTTAGGTGCCCATCTGTACACCCATGAGTTACATCTTGCAGATGATCACCAATGTCGTCATTTCTTGCTCTGGGCACTTCTTTATTGAAGCTGTTCTGGTCTGAGGCCAGTTCATCCAGAGGGCCAACAGCTGGAGTTTCTGTACTTTCCTTTCTTACGTGAAGACAGAACAAGATCCAGCTTCCGAAACGTATTTTATTTATATTTGTAATTTAGACAATGGACAAAGTAAATAAAAAAAATTACATATTATAATGCACCATGATCAGAAACCTTTAGACTTCAACTATAATTTTAGTTCATCAGTGAAAAAGATCAAGATTATTGATTACATCACAGAGCCAGTATTTGAAGCTGCATTCCCTTCTCTAGCGAGAGTGTATCATCAGTCAGATATATGATTTCTTTCTTCTGTACATGACAGACACATTAGACTGCCTACTTTCGTTTTGGAGTATTTCTACAGTACCTATTTTGACACATCCCTTGTCTGTCATAAGTAAGTTGGACACTTTCAGGTCTCGATGAACAATGAAGTTGCGATGGAGGTAGCGCAGACCACGTAGCACCTGCAGCATGATACATTTCACTTGGGACTCTGAGAATGGTGCCTGCATGTTATCAAGAAGACTGGCTAAGTCCTGTTCACAGTACTCCATCGCCAAGAAAATACTGCAACACAAAATATGCGATTTCTTTGTTCACCTGTAATTCAAGAACGTTTCATAATCAAATTCCTGATGTGGGATTTTCTCCAGGCAGTCAGTAGGTTCTGCATTTACTTGCTTAATTCACACATTGCATAAATTATGCATCCATAGTTTGTTGTGTAATAAAGAAAAAACAAACTCCCAAGTATTTCACACACTTCATTTAATATACTGAAGATGGCAGTTAAGAAACGTTTCATCAGAAAAATTGCCAATACATGATGTTTGACTGATGGTGGACTGTTAGTTGTGTGGGTCAAATCGAGTAGCATAGCATGCACCTGCTTCTGCCATGGGTTCAGTAGCCCAGGATTTCCCTGTGGCATCATCCAGAACGTTGAGCTACACATGCACATATTAACCATGTGTAACTTGGTTAAGCACCCTTATGGTGATTTTAGACTTAGTGCAAGAATGTGTTGCTTGTGGTACTATATTTTTTCATTTCTAGTGAAAATTATTTTTTAGTTTGGTGATATACGTATCACCAGCAACTGCAAACTATGTGTAAATATTCTCAAATATTCATGAAAATCAAAGGACTAACCATTCAACAACAAATGACTCTCAAATAAAATCCAAAGATTTTGAAGATGAGACTGGATTTTCACTAATTTTTCATTAGACTGAGGAAACAGAACAGGTAACTATAAATTATAAAACTTCACAAACACCAATACAACTCCACCAACTTTAACCTGCTATAAAGCACAATAATTGAAGACAGGGAGAATAAAAATGTCACTTAAAATTATTTATTGTCTGGACTTTTTCCATCGTCCTTGTTAAAAAGAAGAAACCACAACGTTTCCAAAATATCGTGGTTTCTTCTTTTTCGAAGGATGATGGAAAAAATCCAGACAATGAATAATTTTAAGTGTAATCCACTATCGTAAGAACCCCACAGAATTGAATAACAATTTCACTATCTGCATTACAGTGTCATCATTATGCTTACCATAAAAGCAGCCAAAAAACAAGATCAAGGCCTGTATAAAGCAATTAAAGTGTACTGAGATCTTTGTTTAGTAATAACTGTCATTCCTCTTGCAACATCGGCTTTCTTCATTGTCTCTCTATTTTTAAGAATAGTACAGATCGTTGATTTTGCCATCCCAAACTGAGTAGCAAGATCAGAGACACGAACACCATTTTATAAAAATGTACGCTAAAATAATATATAGAAATTGTATTTAAGAAATTGTATTTAAGTTATTATTGATTTGAATTTTTATATAATTATATACACCTGAAGATAGTTATTTTAGGAACTGAAACATGTCGTGAAAAATGATGGTCTAATGTAAATCGAATATTTCGATAAAGAACATCATTTAATATTTTAAATATTTTAAATCTTAATTATTGTAATAATTTAATATTTAACAAGAATTTGTTGTGATCAGACGGACAAGATTAAAACAATATATACCTATCATGATATTGGTATTTTTTCATTTCACTTTGTTGCTATCATTGTCTTTCTTTGGCCCCATGCTGGATCATTCTTCCACGAATACTGCCGACGCTAATACTCCCAGCTTATCGCTCCACGATGTTGACGGCTTGCGTGTTCGTAACTCAAGACACATCCGAGACGCTTTGTGTTCGGAAAATTTGTTTGTAAACTGAATTGTTCATGATCCGAGGCGTTCGTGAACCGAGGTTTGACTGTAACTGTAAACATTTCCCTGAGAAGTACTGAAGCCTAAGTACATGAATCTGTCCAACTTACAACAAAAGGGGTGTCCAAGATATAGGGTATAGTGGACATGTAAAATTATAGGATATTCGCCAGTTAAAAATTAAGAATATATAGGGGTCTCCAACTTGAGAGGTTTTACTGAGTATTGGTACATGCCATGGATGAGTGAACAGTCTTTTGTTTCGGAGCATTGTTTCCACAAAGCAGCATATAAAACACCTGCGTATTATATACATATAGATGGTTCTTGTGTACTTACTTATTCAATAAACTATGCGCGCGCGCATGTGTGTGTGTGTGTGTGTGTGTGTGTGTGTGTGTGTGTGTGTGTGTGTGTGTGTGTGTGTGTGTGTGTGTGTGTGTGTGTGTGTGTGTGTGTGTGTGTGTGTGTGTGTGTGTGTGTGTGTGTGAGACATTTCTCAAGTCTTTCACTGCCCTTTCACCAGCGCCTGGCCCACGCCCTCCGCTGCAACGTACCGGTGAATGCCGCGCTGCTGTCATGCACATGCGCGGTGGTGCGAATTTTAAATATACATACCAAGTTTGAGCAATTTTTTTGCAACCTTGCACAGCATATCAGCAGCTGAAATTTTGTGTACAATCATTAATAGATGGGCTCTGTAGATGAGCAAAATTTCAGGTGAGGTTTCGGCATGATCAACCTAACCATTCCCATGTCAGTATTCCTATGAAAGGGGATTTCTTTTCCAGGTGGCAGTGATAGTACTACCATGACAGTATTTTCGCTTGCAAAAACCATGAACCTCAAAAAATAAACATATATGTGAAGAAAAAGTGCATGAATTATATTCAGTAAATGACAGTCCATTCTCAATATCTATCATTCACTAGTTCCTTAAAAATGCAACAGGTAAGAAAAACTGAATATGGAGCAAAATACTCCCATGTTGTAATGTTAATTCATTTAAGGTAAGTCACAAACTTTACTTCAAAACTTACTTTTTTGGCAAGTAAACACCAATTGAGAATGTATGATTTAAAGCTTTCACAGCAACTAACATTAACGAAATCTTCTGGGGCTATCAGCTGTGTCAGTTTGTTGAAAATTGACATTTCAGGAACTAGCTCTGTCCCCATATCCTAATAATGGTGACAGAGCTAGTCCATGCAATGTAGATGTTTAACAAACTTGACTTAACCGATAGTCCGAGAAGATTTTATTAACTAATAATGACTATCCCAGAGATTGACTTATCAAAGTTTCATTATCTCCCTTAGCTTTCTGATCAGGAAACCAATAATTTATCCATTTTAAATAGAATGTTTTGTCTGGTTCTCAATATCTGTGAATATTTATACTGTGTTTTCAGTTATAATTGTTTATCATTGTAGGAATATTCAATGTTCACATCTGAAATCATCTGCTCATATGCCATCTTCAAGATCTGCAATAATTTTGAATCTTCTTATCCAAAGTGGGCACTACACTTTCTCATTTGACTCAGCAGACGTGGAAACTGAGATTACTTCAAAAATAAGGTAAACAAGACACAAAACTGGCAGAAATGGTTTCAGAACTTCTCACTAGAGTGATTGTAGAAGACTGACACTGCTAGCAATAGGAAATGATATATAACACATGAGACAGGTGGCAACTTAATATGGATACTAGAATCAACAATGAATAAAGAAACAAAGGTGTTACATTAGTGGATGATGGATATGAGAAACAGTACACTGAGAAGTCAATGGATATTGACTTCCCACTATATAAAGACCAGCAAGTAATCACTGTCACTACAAAAGTACACAATGCACCAATCAATACACCACATTCCTGAAACCTATTTTAATATTATCCTCCTCTCTATGTCAAAGAAGTCTCTTTCAAAAAGATTTCTATCAAAGTAGTCCATTTCAGACTTCCTGATTACGCACCTATCAGTCCTAGATGAACAGTGTGTCTCTGCAGTTGATACAGTGTCATTAAAAATGTGCTAATCTAATCAGAAGTATGTACAGTTTGAAACTAAGGATCCATATGAAAAATCTGGGTTGAGTTGGTGCTAAAAGAGCTTATAGTTCTACCTGGCTATAAGCAATACCAATAAGCACATAGCAATTACAGACTAACATACATCAAAATTCAAGTAGTACCTACCTCTCAAGACTTCTTCCAACTACAACTTCTTTCAAGTGAACAATGTTTTCATGACGACAGCTGAGGAGGACAGAGATCTCTCGCAGTCCACTGACAGGTAATCCATCTTTCTCATGCTCCATACGAACTTTCTTCAGTGCTACCACCTTGTCTGTCTTAGTATCACGTGCTCGATCTGAAATGCAATACTTATTTACTGCAGGTTCATCTCCTGGAGCCCTTCAGCTCCATGTCTTTTCTTTCCACGTGGGACCAGGCTGTTACACAGGCCCCAGATGGAAAGCAAACAGACTGTTAATATGACTGGCAGGACCTGATTCTCTGTCACTTAGAAAGTGAACATACCACACTGTCTGTCTGTCATGGTTCGTTGGTATTTAAGTAATCCCAATGTTATGACTTAATTTTCACTATATTCACAAGTGGTGAAGAGATCTCAAGAGATTAAATCATGTTACTGCCCCAATATTCTTCATATTGTAATAGATCAAGTTTTGCAAAGTTGAGGGATTTAACATGTACAAAGAAAAATCCTCACCAAGATCAAGTCAGAAACTGAATCCAGGTAACTGAAAATGTGAGGATTAGAAGGTTGTCTGACATTAACTGTTAAAATTATTATAGATATAGCATGCCAGTTCTTGACGAGTAAAGAGCCGAGACTTTTGGTTTGAGAAAACCAGGTCAGCAATGAAAGTGCAAAGACTTCACAAATATTACAACATAAAACCTCCCAGCATAACTTCTGTGTATGAATGGCACAGAAATTTTGTGCATTGTGTTTGCGATGTTGGACAGTTCCTTCATTAAGAAGCCATTGCTGAGTTTATCTCAATATGCTCATTAATTTTCTGCTACCAGAAATCAGCCATGATCACCCCACAGGATAACTGATTTTCCAGCAAGATGGACCACCTCCCAATATCAGTGGGAAGTGAAGGACTGTCTAGATCAAAATTCCCTGACAAGCAGATTGGTTGAGAC